ACAGTGAGTTCCAGGTCAGTCTCAACTACACAGTGAGACCCTGTCTCAAAAAAACAATACAAAAAAAAAAAGAAAAAGAAAAAGAAAGAAGGGTTTATTAAGATCCGGACTCCACCCAGATCCAAGCTACATAAGCTTAGGCACCAGTGTTTTCTTGTGTCTCATTTTCTTCAACTCTGAAGTGGGGACAGTTATACAAATGTATTGTATCTGTATGATTTTCGCTAAGTAACAGAGAACCCTGACTTAACTGGTTTAAATGAGAAAATGTACTACCTCAAATAATCATAAGAAGCCTTAAGGTAGAATGGCCCCCCAAGGTTAGTTAATTTGGCAGTTCAATGGAAGCCTCAAGGACCCATGTTCTTCTTATCCTCCCGGTCTGGCAATCACCTTCCTGGTCACAAAATGGCTGCTGCAGCTCCACACATCACTTCCAGACCTGACAGCCCTCAACAAAAAGAGAAGACCAGTCCCTTCCTATATTTATCTTTCTTTCCCAGAATTCCCCCTTCCCAAGTCTTTTCTTGCTTCACGGATCAGAACTGGATCGTACGGCCATTCCTACACCAATACCCAGTAAGAGAAATAGACTCACAGTGCTTGGCTTAGCAAAGCCCAAAACTGCAGAGAAGAGTGGAAAACTGAGCAAAACCAAGTGCTGTGTATAAGGAGTAGGAGGCACGAGCTCCCATCCAGAAGCTCCCACTTGTGAATCCTGAGGACTGAGCACCCACATCCCTACCACACGGCAGGAGCCTCATTCAATGTTCAGGGTCTCTGTCCTGTTGCAGATTCTCTCCAAGAACCCAGCACTCCCAGCCTGGTCCCTCCTGACCCGGCCTTCTGCTCCTCAGGCTGGGGCCTAGGTCTCCACTGCCCCCACCTCCCTGACCTTGTCTTCTGGCTTTGTCCTCACCTTCCCTTTGTTTCTGTCTCATAAGCTTGAGCTGAACAGAGCTCTCCCCACCGGCCCCAGCGACTTCAGTTTCCTAAAACATAAAAGGTGGGAGGTACTTGGTTCTCATGTAAATGCTTTTGCCAGGGAGCCAAAAATTAATAACAGTATGAACAGAGTCCTGGAGTATTTAATCGCCCTGTCCAAACAACCGAAGCAATCCAAATGCACCATTATCTGGGCTAGCTGTGGAGACTGACTACCGACTGTGACATTATCACATTCGGAAATGTCACAAGCATGCACTCAGAAGAAATGAACGGTGTGGCTGAATATGGCTTTTGATTAAATAAAATCCCCAGCATTCATCTAAAACAATAATAACAGCTAATAATAACAGGCCATGTAATAACGAACTATTCATAGGCGTAAGAGGTAATTGTTCAATTAAGATCCGAGAGGTTCTAAGACTGTCTTTTCTGATGGGATCCCTTTGTTTTTGCCTCCAGTAGCACTAATTATTTCCCAGTAGTGCTTTAAACTTGGGAGGAGAAAAAGGCGTCCTGTCAAATATGACATACAAGTGCTTTATCATTATTAAATACACACACATGCACATAATAGGAAACCCTTACTGGAGTAAAGGTAGAGGTGTGTTTAAAGGGAGAGGCCACTAAATAGAGCTGGCAGGCCAGGGGACTCAATAAAAGTAGCAGGTGACAGCTAGGGCTTCCGCCGCAGAAGGACTCGGTCTCATTACCTCACCCCTCACCCCTCATGCGTGGCCAAATGCCTGGGCTCAAATCCCACTACAGCACTTACCAGTCGGGTGCCCCGGGAGCCTCTCTGAACCTTGATTTTTCTCAGCTATAACCCAGAGAGAGCGCCAGATGTAGGGATGCACGCCTATAATCCCAGCACTTTGGGAGGGAGGCTGAGGCAGGGCGTTCACAAGTTCAAGGTCAGCCTGGGCCACTTAGTGACTGGGCGAGGCCACGTCTCAAAAAAAAAAAAAAAAAAAAAAAAGACTAGAGCTGTAGCTCAGTGCAATCACCAGTGCTGCAAAAAATAAAACAAACAAAAAAACTGAATGCAGTTAACATTCCTGGCTTTTTTGCCAGCTTGTTCTATTTACCCTTTTTTTCTGGTGTCTATACCCTTACCTATTGCTGCTTGCACCACACACACATGCACACATCAGTGGTATGGTATCCAAAACCATTCATTTCTTCCCCAGCATCCACTTGGCTCTCGTCCTGGTGGGTGGGGCCAGCCCAGGCATGTCCGTTTGCGTCCCATTGGTCAACACAAGTCACATGGTCAGACAGGTGTGGGAAATTGGAGTTTGCTGGCTGGGAGAGGACAGCAGTTTTACAGCAAAGGGCATGGGTGAAAAGAAGAGTGGAAATCTGGGTGCTGATACAATACACCCTGGTATCAACACTCACCTCTCCTCAGGAAGCTGTCCTGCCTTAGTCTCAGCCCCAGGGGTCTGGGAAACTCTAGCTCTGTCCCTGGTTTCAGCAGTAGCCTGACAACGCAGGTCTGACCAACCAGGAGCCATCCTGCTCCCCTGGCCACACTGACTGGGTCAGGAGTTGTCATGTGACCCCAGTTGGCCCACTAAGAGGCAGCCCTGGCACTTTCACTGGGATGATTAGGGAACGAGCAACTCTTCGGTGAGACCGCTGAGTTGGTAAGGAGTCAGCATGAAGCTTCCAGGGACCAGTATTTTGGGAGAGCCAGCTTGGGAACTAAACTGCCTCACAGGAAGGCAGAGCCAAGAGGCACACAAGAATCTAATCCTGATGGCCTCGTTCAAGCCCTAGGATCCAGCCATGCTTGAAGTCAGATGCCTGGTCTGCCCCAGTGACGTGACCCAGTATGTATTCACATTTGCCACATGTAACCAAAAAATTATAATACTTGGGGGCTATGGGGTACTGTATGAAAAGTACCAACTTTATAGGATCACAGCGAGGCTTAAATGAGGTGATAGGAGAGGCAGTAAGATCAACCCTGGGGCACCTAATGGGTTTGCTTAATGCATGGGGATTTTTTTAATCACTTATTAGGAGTATTTCTAATATGTCTAGTAGTTATTCAGCCAAGCAATTGGGAAAGATAACAGGAAGTAATGGGGGAGAGGGTACTTGTCACATGGGAGTCTACTCCTGGACTCAAATCTGCATTCCCCACACTACAGTGTGACCGCAAGCAAGCCATATCACCTCTGAGCCTTGTTCAAAAAGAGAATGACAAGCCGGGCGCGGTGGCGCACAGCTATAATCCCAGCACTTGGGAGGCCGAGGCAGGAGGATCGCTGTGAGTTCGAGACCAGCCTGGGCTACATAGTGAGTTTCAAGGCAGTCTCAATGGGGGGGGAGTCATCTCTACGTTTTGTTTTGCTTTTTTTGAGACGGTCTCACTATGTAGTTGAGACGGACCTGGAACTCACTATGTAGTCCAAGCTGGTCTTGAACTCACAGCGATCCTCCTGCCTCAGCCTCCCGAGTGCTGGGATTGCAGTCGTGCGCCACCATACCTGGTGAAAAGGTCATCTTTAAGAATCTTACTAGAGCTGGAGATTTAGCTCAGTGGTTCTGCTGCCTGCCTCACAAGCATGAGGTCCTGAGTTCAATCCCCAAACCAAAAAAAAAAGGTCTTACTAGGCCTAGCATGTGTGACCCTGGGTTCAATCAGCACCAAAAAATAAAATACTGATGCAAAAAGAAAACCTCTAAGACTTGGAAACTTTTAAACAGTTAACGCGGAGCGAAAAGTGTACTTAGAGGAGGGTTGATAGCCAAAATTACTTCCTCACCACTTTCCAACTCTTTTAAATGAATTAAGTACTTCCAAGTCCCACTGAGCGGGGAGTGTTTCGACTTTGTGATTCCATGGGCCCCAGGGTGAGCCCCAGCCCTCCTGGGAGACGGTGCTGAAACTGGAGAAGGGACCACGGCAGAGGCTACTGGTTGCCTAGGCAATGTGGATGCTGCCATTCTCTCTCCTCACGGAACACAGATCTTGTTGCAGTCGCTTCCTTCTTCCAAATGACTGTGGTTTTTTTAAGGCCAATTCAATTGCTGCTTCCTGTCTAGGAAGTGGCTGAAACACGAGACACGTGACATAACGCTGGCCTAGAAGAGGGGAAATTTTCTACCTGCCTAAAAAGAAACAGAAGAGCCAAATTCCTTCTTCCTTTGATTTTGACTGGATTTGGATGTGACGCTTGGGTCTCGGGTGCCATCTTGTGCCCTTGAGGGAATCCGGTATGAGCCGTCACACCCAGGCCAGTGTTTCTTGCTTAGCACCTGACACATTGTTGAAACCCAATACATAGATGCTGAAGGGGAAGAAACTGGGCCACGAATGAAGCAGAGACCTTCAACCAGCCTCAATGCCCTTCCTAACTTGTGATCGCCTGCTAAGACGATTCATATTCCTTTTCATTCAGCCAGGGGAAGTTTTGTGTTACTCGCTCCCCAAAACACACACTGTGTGACCACTACAACTGTGATCCCTTCTTTGAAGAACCCAGCAAATCACTCCATCTTTACAAAGACTGTGCCCATTTTATAGCTGAGGAAACCAAGGCAAGCCTAGTCTCCACCTCTTGACCCCAAATGCAGGGCTTTCTAGAACCATCCTCCCTATGTCCATTTGCTGTTTCACTATCCCTGCCTGAAGGGCACCCGAGGCAAAGCAGGCCTCCCCTGGTCGCCAGCAGGTGTCTGCAAAGAGTGACAGGCCAGGCCATCTTGTCCTCTAGACAACTCGGGGAGAGCCCGGCTCAACAAGGACCGGGTGTTTTCACCTCAGCTGGAGCTGAGGAAAGCGAACCGTGTCCCTCTCTCCCCAGACCTTCTGCTGGGGCTCAGCCAGTCAGCCTCCGTCCCTTCCGGAAGCCCAGGCTGAGGGAGAGACACCTGTCTGCCTCGAGTTGCCCCGCAGAACCCCATTGTGATAAGGCAGCGTCTACCCCACGTCTGTCTGACCAGAACAGCTCCACCCTCCGCCCTGAGAACAAGGGACGTGGACCTGCTCCGGCTGCTGAGGGAGAGGGTCAGGGCAGCGAAGGTGGGTGGCACCCGCTTCCTTCCTGCTGAAATCAGTTCCTTGCTGTCATCCACCTTCACCCCTCACAGGGGAGGCTGCGGTCCCAGAAAGGTACAGTATCACCTCGCAGAACAGCACCTGTGACCAGCTCTTCCCGGCAAGCTTCCGGGCAGGGCTGAGGGGCTGCAGCAGGAGGTGGCATTACTGTCCCCCAAGAACGGTTTTACTCCTCACCAGCAACACCCCTCCCATTCCCTCAGTCTTTACCTTCCCGGGGGCCACTGCAGCCTCGGCCCATCCCGAGGCCCCCACCCTCAGCACCCTAAAGGCCACCCGTGAGCACTGTGCCCTCACTGGCCCCCTTGCCCTTCCCCACCAGCGATTCTAGCACCCGGACACCGTCTGTCACCATCACCCTCGCCCCCCTCCAGCTCCACCACTGACGAGTGACCATTTATTGAGCACCGACACAGGGCAGGCACTACAGGACACCCAGAAAGTGCGGCCCAGCCCCAGGCCAGGTGCCCGGCGAAGCCACCTCATCGGTGCTGGTGTGTGCAGGGCCCGCAGCAAGGCATCGAGGACGCTTTCTGGTCCCAGGTGGGGCTGCTCATGCTTTCCTGAGAGCAGAGCAATAAATAATGGAAAAGGCAGGGCAGGCTCCGGGCAGAGGCCTGCGGTGCTCAGGTGACTCCATGGGAGTGAGACAGGCAGCCCGGAGCCCATCCCGGGAGAGCTGGGGTGGGAGCCTAGGGGCCAGAGGGTCCTGGGGGCTCCCCAGCATCTCCGTGGGCTCTCGCCTCTGGGGGTCACAGGTACGGGGGACACTGGGATACGCCGCTGGAGCAGCAAGTGGACTAAAAATGTGCAGGTGTGAGGGCCAGGGCCTTCTGCAGCCCTAGAGGGGGGCGTCGTCAGTCCTCCACTTCGGGGGGTAACTCTGCTGGTGGCCGTCGCAGCTGGGGTTCCCCAGGTTGTCCAGAGGCACCACCACCTCATCCGGGCTGGAGGTTTTGTTCAGCTCCACCACGCGGGGCACCACGGAGGACCAGCGATCTGGAAAGGAAGGTCGGGGAGAGGGGTGAGGGCTGTTAAGGAGCAGGCGCACACGGTGAGCGACCACCCCATACAGCAGGGGGCGCCAGAGACCTAATGGGGAGGTGGTTTCACGCCCACTTTACAGACTTGGAAACTGGGCTCAGGGAGGCCAGGAGGCCAAGGTGCACACGCAGAAGTCCAAAGGAACCAGGGGCAAGGCTGGGTCGGGTGCCCCGGCTGCCCTGTCCTCTCCCTTGAGATTCAGTGGAAAGACAGAGGGACTTCACCACCGGGATAGCCTGGATCTTGTCCCCCTTGTCCTGCCTCCCCAGCTGGGTCACGGTGACAGGGGGCCCAGCGAGGAGCCACCAGGTGGCCGCCCAGGCATTCAAGCAGCAGAGGACCCCACCGGCTGGCCGGCCCCCTCCCAAGTCCACACACGCCCACATCGAGTCCCAGGATGGGGACAGGATGGCGTGCCGGGGACAGACGGGCCCTGCTCACCCCTCCGGAGGCGGCCCACGGTGTGTGAAAAGCCGTAGTACTGGTAGGTGTCGCTCTTGCCGGGGTCTTCATTGATGATGCCCAGGTTCTGGTTCCAGTGAGACCAGTTCACCTCATCCACCCTGTTGGGGCCAAATGAGGGTCAGGGAAGCCCCAGAGAGAAGGGTCGTCCCCTCCCAGGGTCACCTCCTGGCTCTAGCACCCCTTTCCCTCGTTTCTACAATGGTGAACACAGTTTATCACTTTGATCCTTTTGGGGGAGTTGGTACTAGGGATTGAACCCAGGGCCTTTGCCCTGACTACATCCCCAGCCTTCTGTGTGTACCTATGTGTGTGTGTGTATAT